CTTAAAAAGAGCAGCTCCTCCAACCCAGCTGTGACCAGCCTGACTTTGCGGCTCCTGGTCTTTCACTCGCCCTTTCTCCCTCGGATAAGCTCTTCTCAGGGCTCCCCCATCTGCAGCATTTTCCCCAGGTAGTTCCAGACCTTGCTCGTTTGCTTTCCAGGACTTTGCTGCCACCATCTTTCCTCTGCCACCTCCCTTGTCCTCCTTGTTTTACTCTCCACGCCCTTCTGAGGTCAGTATTGCTAGTTTGTCTTTTCTCCAATTTGCTCCTCAACACACAATTCCGTGCGACATCCCATTCGCTTATTGTGTTTTCCTTGTTTGCTTGATTTCCCATGACTTGACCCCTGGGGTTATAACCTACTCTCGTTTGATGACGCATCTTGAAATTAACACAGTATCTAGTACATAGTAGGCATTCCGTAATTGTCTTCCAGGAGAAATTTTAAAATCAGATTTTAAGACGTCGTCCACTTTGCCCGTAAGGGGGAAAAGGCACTAGATCAACTTTCCACTTAAGAAGACTGAGAAAATATGGATAAAATACATGAAATCCTGCTTTCCAAACGTTAGACAATGGGTAGTATGGGAAAGGTATCCCTGGGAGGAGGGAAAGAAACAGAGATGTCAAGACGTCTCCGTTGAGTGTCTTGAGAAGATTTAAGGGGCACCGTGTGGGAAGGGATGCAGATCAGTATCTCTGAGTCGGGGAGAAGCTTGAGGGTACCGTGGTCAGAGCTCATAGGGACTGGCAGTGGAGAGGAGAGTTAACACAGAGTGAGAGCGCTGGAAACCTACAGCAGGTTCCCTTTGAATCTTCTGCTGAGTACTGATCCTTGTGCTCACAGGAAAGAGCTACCCGCCTCAAGCCTTTTTATGGTCAGCATTAACACAGGCATGCGTGCCTCAGTAGGTGCAGAACAGAATTTAACACAACCCAACAGCGACTATAATAAAAAAAAACTGAAAAATTAAGAATAGAGAGAGATTTTTCTTAATATGATAAAGAAGATCTAAAAATACCACAGAGCTCATATTATACACAATGATAATTTATTGGGTACAAGGTCAGGGCATCTATTCCCAATACTTCTATTCAAAATAGTACTAGAGCTGCTCTTAGAAAAAACAAAAACACAGCTATTGAAAAGGAACAATCAAAACTTCTTTGCTTACAGATAATATGACTGTGTACACAGAAAATCTAAAAATGTAGAAAAAATTACTAAAATTAACAAATGAATTCAGCAAGTCTGCAGGATACAAAGGGCAATTGTATCTATATACTTTAGATATTTTATATATATATATATATATATGTTTTCTGTATAAAATATATAGATATTTGGAGATAAATTTAACAAAATGTGTAAAAAATCTCTATACTGAAAACTAAAAACATTGCAAAGAAAAATTAAAGAATTGCTAGAGATATAGAGAGGTAAACCATTCATATGTCTTTGTCAAAACTCAATATATTAAGATATCAAGTCTTTACAATGTGATTCAGTGCTATCATTAAGTTACCAAAAATGTTATAGATATTTGGAGATAAATTTAACAAAATGTGTAAAAAATCTCTATACTGAAAACTAAAAACATTGCAAAGAAAAATTAAAGAATTGCTAGAGATATAGAGAGGTAAACCATTCATATGTCTTTGTCAAAACTCAATATATTAAGATATCAAGTCTTTACAATGTGATTCAGTGCTATCATTAAGTTACCAAAAATGTTTCTGTAGAAATTGACAGGAAGATTCTAATATATATATTATATATATGTAAATTCTGTATAATAGCTAAAACAGTTGTAACAAATAACAAATTTAGAGGTATACATTACTTCATTCTCAAGACTTACTGTAAAGCAACATTAATCAAGACAGCATGATATTGGCATAAGTATAGAAATAGATTCAGTGGAACAGAATAGAGAATAAAGAAATAGATCTACAGATGATCAATTTTTTCTCAACAGAGCTACCAAGGCAATTCAATGCCAAAGAAAAATCTTTTTAACAGATTCACTTAGAAAAGTTACTTTCTATGGAAAAATAAAAGACCCTCAATCTGTACCTTAGAGCATTCACAAGAATGAATTTAATATCTACAGTAAGCCTTAATGTACAAAGCTTCTAAGAGAAAATATGGAAGAAAAAGAAAATAAAGAAGGCCTTTACAATGTACATTTAGGTAGAAAATCCTTGCATAGGATGCAGAAAACACTAGGTGTAAAAGAAAACAATTAATTGGAATCAATCAAAATAGAAAAGAAAATCTGCTCATCAAGACTTAATTAACAAAATAGATGACAACATATAGTGGTAGAAAATATTTTTGCAACATAAATATTTGACAAGGGACAATATTTAGAATATGTAGGTAAATTATAACAATAGTAAAGAAAGAAAATACAATTTTGAAAACTATTCAACAGACTTACTTGCTTTATAGAAATATTTTTAGAATTATGCTTATTTTTATGTATGGAAATGGCCAATAAGCAAACAAGAAGGTGTTTCACATGTTAGTCATCAGTTTTATTCACTTACTTTTAAAATAAAGATTAATATTTTTTAACCTATGGAATTTAAGTTTCATTACTAGATAGTTACTTGAACAACATGAATTGTAGGGCCAGGGATTTAGCTCAATGGCATCACACCTGCCTTGCAAGTACCAGGTTCCGAGTTTGATCCCCGGTACAAAAACAAAAACAAAAAAAAAGAGTTGTAGAAATTGTATAGTCTGGGTGTGGGTCCTTTGTAGTACTGTATCTTATCTCTGCAGCTTGTGTTTCCTACTCTCCATAGGACAGTGGGTCAACAGAAATTATTAACTTTGAAGCAGTCCTTGGACTGAGGGTGTAGCTTATTGATAGTGTATTTACTTAGCCTTTATAAGGCCCTGGGTTCGATAGCCAGTACTAACTGATAAGGAAGCAAGGAAGGAAGGGGAGGGAAGGGGAGAGGAAGAAAGGGAAGAAGGGAGGGAAGGAAGGAAGGCATAAAGAAAGAAAGGCAGAAAGAAGGCAAAGTTCTCCTTCGCAGTCTTTCCTTTATGGTTAGTGCTTTTTATATCCTGATGGAATTATATTAAAAAAAAAAAAACCCTGGGAACAACCCTATTAACAATTTACTGTGAAAGACAAATTGTGTTATTTTCACATAAATACCACTAAGCAATGGCAATTAATTAGATGATGATACACAGAACAGCATAGATTAATTCTCCAAAGCACTGTCTTGTGTAGAGGACGCCAAATACAAAAGGATTCACACTGTATGCTTCTATTTATACGGGATTCTAGAAGAAGGAAAGGTACAGCTATAGAAGCAGTGTGGCAGAGACGGAGAGGGACTGACCAGAATGGACAGGAGGGGACCCTGGGGCGACGGCAGTATTCTGTATTTTGATGGAGTGGTGGTTACACAGATAGTGTATTTGTCAAAACTTCTCAAACTACATTTATGTGCACTTTATTAGAAATTGTACAATTCAACAACTTAAAAATACACTCACAAAGATGCGCTGTCATAGGATAAAGAATTCAAAACCACCAGTTAACAGGAGCATGGCAAGGGTGAAACAGATCCTTAGATACATGAGTATCTTTTCTGGCTATTTGGGGCATATGAGGATCTCTTTGCTGGTGTATATACAAGGATATGCACACCGTGGTGAAGATTACATGTCACCGTCCAAGAGCAAACATTTATCTTTTTAAAATATCCAGAAGTTCGTGTAGTCTCCAACTAAAGAGAGTTCAGTTTAGGGTATTTCAGGTTCATAATGGTGCCAGGTTGATAGCAGTCAGTAGAAACAAATTTTCAAATTTCCATCTTTTTTTGAACTAGCAGTAGGCTGGGCAGCAGGAACAGCCGCAGTGCCCGGTCAGCCCTGGAAACCACTGGCATTCTACGGTGTAGTGTAGTTTCGGTCTGCTCTTTTATTTTGGTGTTTGGATCCAAGAGTTCAATAAACTGCACGAGATCTGCAGCGCTTTATTATAAGATGGTTTTTGTGTTAGATGATTTGCCCAACCGTAGGCTAAGGGAAGTGTTCTGATGTTTAAGGCAGGCTAGGTTAGTTAAGCTGTGTTCAGTAAGTTAGGTATATTAAATTCATCTCTGACATAATCATTTAAACTTATGTTTGATTGATAGGGATACAATCCCATCATAAACAGAGGAGCATCTGTATGGCGCTGCACTTGGAATTTATCAAAGAATGGCTCTGGACTGGACAGACATTTGCCTAGCTGAGAATTTGATAAAAAAAAAAAATCAAATGTGAAGCACTATTTATTGTGGTGCTGTATTTTGAGGCCATTTAACAAGCAGTTACAGTCCAATGACTGTGTGCACCCCTCCTCTTGGGAGAAAGGAGAAGAGATCTCTGCAGTACAGTGGAGACAAGTGGCACTTCTGTGTCCCTTGCAGGACGATGGTTACATTGTCCCATGATTAGTTGTACACATGTCCAGCCTTAAGTGCAAACAGGAACACCGGCACTAGTGTTTAGTTCTCTAGAGGTTAAGGCATTGGCTTTCAGCAAAATTTGACACAGCACAGAACAAGGTGCTGTATTATTAACTACTGGAGAATTACAAATTGGTTTATGGCACAACAGATACGATTTAGAAATTACATAAAATGGACTTATCGTGGGAGATGTAAAGAACCAGGCTGAGATGCAGCGCACAGGGGATTTTCTTATACCTCCCTGCTTGTTGACTTCCTGGTTCTCAGCTAACCTGAAGTCATTTTGCCACTGGAAAGCACAGTTTGTTTGGTTTTTTTCCTACTTTTCCTAATATTTAGTAGTGTTTTTGCAATCCCTTGTTCTTAGATATCCAAAGAAGACAAGTTCCAAACGCCTGTCATTTTTTAAGTATTAGAATCATCACTGTCTTAAAGAGAAAATCCCTGACACTGACAACTCTAAGGAGGAAAGGTTTATTTTGGCTCACAGTTTGAAGAGGTTTCAGGCCATAGTCTGCTGGTTCCAAGGCAGGGTAACATGGTGGATGGGGGCAGCTCATGATGTGGCTAAAGAAAAGCAGAGAGAGATCAAGGGAGGAATATATACCCCTTCAGGCCACATCCCCACTGACCCACTTCTTACAATCATATTCCACCTTCCAATATCACATGTAGTTATAAGCTCAGCACAAGGCTAATCCACTGATGAACATCACATGTCCACGATCCAATCATCTCTCAAAAGCCCCACTTATAAGCACATGAGACTTTGGGGAAGGGGGATCTCTAGCTATAAACCATAACAATCATCATATGCTATAGATATGGACAGAAGTACAACATAAGTGCTTTTATATAAAGAGCTCTTAAAAATCAACACTATAATACAAGTGGCCTAATGAAGCTGAGCAAAGAGGACTAAGGGATAATATTTAAAGAAAAATGCAAATCTCCAATCTATTCTAATCTAACCTAATTTATATTAAATAGGTTCAGGCATCATTAGTGAACAATTTAAACAAAAATGAGCTAGAGCTCTGCATATCTCCAGTTAGTGATACTTTGGAAAATATACATGCTTACATGGTAAAGTAAATATTTTTATGTACTATTAGTGGAACTATAAATGGTATGATCTTTTAGGGAAGAAATTTGACAGCACGTACAAAGTGACTTAAAATGTTTCATATCTTTTTTACATCAAACATTATTGTCCCAAGACACGGTCCAAAGGAAAGGATCGTGTAGACAATGTTTAACATTGGAGGAAAAAAACTAAGCAAAATATGGCAAATGTATACTACCAAATGACAAAAACTAGATCACACACATTAAGAAATGTGAAAATCATAGTATTTAGTGAAAAATAGTATTCAGGCTAGAATATTTTAAGACAAATGCTTTTTAATGAACTCATATATAAAATGATACAACACAATTTATAATATATATGTTAGAAATTATATATATGCAATAAAATATATTTGCATATATCAAAATCATTAGGGATGAGTATTTGTAATTGTTTCTATTTGATTTATATATTTATAATTATAATAGAAAATAACCTTATTTTTTATTTTTTAAAACTTTTATTAGTAATTGGGTGCAACATATAAGGATTTACATTTGTCGCAGAGAGTTGAAAGACAGATGGTCAATAATGAAGTAGTCTACCCCTGAACGGCATCGTGCATGTAATGCTCTGTACCTGAGATCTTTTTTTAAAGAGCTGAAGATTAAGCTCATACACCAACACAGTATCAACTTTGTAATAAATGTGCAAAAAAAAAAAAAACCCCAGAAAGAATTTAACAATATTAACATTTTGACAAGAATCTTTGAACAATGCCTTCTTATCAATTGCTTTGCAGCAGGCTCTGAGCTCTATACTGTGGTGTACCCACTGTTGGGATCTGGATTTGTTAGTGCACAGCAGGGGTAGAGAACTGTGGCATAGAGTGGTGTCTGTCCACTCAGGCTCCTAAAGCAAAACATCACAAACTGGGTCTCTTCTAAGCAACTAATTTCTAACAGCTGTGGAATCTGGGAAGTCTATGTTCAAGGTGCCAGCAGATTCACTGTCTGGTGAAATCTTGTCTTGTTAACAGATGGCACTTTCTGACTATGACCTCATGTGATAGGTAGGGAAAGCAGCTCTTTAGGGCAGGTTTTCTTTTCTTTTTTTTTTTTTTTGTTTTTAGAGCCTTTATTTCAGAATGAACAGAGCATGAAGAACAGCTAGGGTCCATCTATATCAGACATGAATGGAGGCCAAGCAAGAAGGGGAGCACATACTGTTGAATGCCACTAGGATTGTGGGCCATTTGTTATTTTATGTCACTTGGCCTAAGCTGACCAATACATGTACTAATTAAAAATAATTTTAGAAATATGGTGAGCACTAAAGCTATAAATATATGAGTCATCAGTTTTTTGTGCGCTACAGAATAAAGTCCAGTTTTCTTATGAGGAACTGTCAGGGACTTTCCTAGTCTTATAGGTTCAAGGTTCTGTAGGGCAGGTTTTCTAAAAGCACTAATCTATTCAGGAGGGACTTTGCCATGATCCAATCATTCTTACCTTTTAATTCCATCACATTGGTGACTAAGTTTTAGCATAAGAATATGAAGGCAGATCACAAATACTAAGACCATGGGAACTGGGCAAATTAAAAATCATTTGGATAAATGTTCTCATAGGAAACAAAGAGTAGAGCTCAGGCCCTGAGAGCCAGCATATGGACTCTGGAGATCCATCCTTTGGTCATGCAGCTCAGGTCAAGGAAGATAGAATCCTCAGTGAGGTGATAAGAAATCCACTAAGAACCATATTGATCATGGCTATTTGGGGCTTGATATGCTTCATTTATCTTTATGTCAAGTTCTTTTCCCCTACTTGCAGTTTTCTGCCTTTACTTCTGTGAACAGTTTCTTTATGTTGTCTGCACTCTCTCCTGCTTCTTCATTGACTCTGATTGGTTTTGTTATTCTTCTTTGCATCATCTAGCAGCTACTGGACTGATTTCTCGTGGTCCCTTACTATTTTTAAGAAATTTTTCTTTTCCTGGTCACTAATTGCAATCCTATCTTCTATATCTGAAATTCTGTCCTTACTTTGACCCATCCTGCTGTGTAAACCTTCAGTGGAGTTTTTAATTTTCTGGAAATCTGTTTGCATCTGTGTTATGTATTCCATTTGTTTCCTATGTTGAAATTCCATCTTGTTCCTCAGCTCCTATATTTTTTTTATTGGTGTCTGCTCTGGATTTATTAATCATATCTTGAACTATGGGCACAATCTCTGTTGTTATCTGAGGAATTATTTCTGATTTCATTTTTTTCCAGATCCTCTTTTGTTGCCAGTTCAGGGAGTCCAGGTAGTTGAGTATCAGATTGTTCCATCTCGTTGCCCTTTGCAGTTGCCTTAGGTGATCTGGAAGTCTGATTTTGAGACTTATTTATGTGTCTTCTCATTTCAACAGATGTGAGACAGTTTAATAGAGATAACTTTTTGCTCACCCAGTGGTCTTCAATTCTCAGCAAGCTACTGAGTGGCCTTTTCCCTGCTGTTCACCAATTCCTGGGTTCAGAATGGTGGCCTTCTGGATTCCTGAGCTGACCTGTTTCCTGGGCAGGCTTTTGGCTGGGTCCTTTACACACTTGGGATGGTATCTAGGCATGCCTCTGGTTAAGGCTTGCCCCTCTATGTAGCTGTTCTCTGGGAGGGCTTTTGCACCCCAGTCCCTGGTGTCTGAGCAGGCTTCTGGCTAGGGTCTCCATGCGCGTACTGATGGTATTGGGACGAACCTCTGGCTGTAGCTTGTGTATCTGTGCAGCTCTGTTCTAGGTGGGCCCTTGACTTGGGCCTATGTGCCCAAGTGCTGGGTCAGGGCAGAGCCCTGGCTGGACCTGCCTGAAGCCATTCTGCTCTGGTCCACACCACTGCTTCCTGAGATCTGCCTCTAATACATTATGGCCTCAGTAAGAAATATGACCAAGGTTGCTTTCCACTGAGTGAGACCTCTCGGAGTTTTAGGTACATCAGGGGCACTATGGCTACGAGAGAGCTCAGGAGCTCCAATTCCTCAGGAAAAGGAGTTCAGAGTGGCCAGGTAAAGAAGAGCCCAGTATAGGCTCCCACTGCTGACTTGGAAGCAGCCAACATATTGAGGGTAGACAGAATCATGGAAAGGGCTGACCTAAATATTATAAAGAGTGGGCCAAGCTTTGTCTCCTGGTCTTCTGGATTTAATGATGGTTAATTTTATGTTAACTTGATTGGGCCATGTGTGCCCAGGTTAAATATTATCCTTTGGATTGCCCATGAGAATGATTCTTGGTGAGATTAACATTGGATCAGTGAATTAACTCACTAAAATACAATGCCCTTCCTAAAGATGGTGGGCCTTCTCCACTTTGTGACATGAGCTAGAATATTGGTTTTAAGCCTGGCCTTGCACTGAGATTCACACTGTTGGTTTCCCTGATTCTCAGGCTGATTCAGACTGTATCATACCACTTATATTCCCAGGTCACCATCTTGCGGATGGCAGAGTATGGATTTTATCAGCCACCATAATTGTGTAAGTCAATTCCTCTATTTCTGTAGATAGCCATAATACATACAGATTTCTAAAATAGTCTAGAAATACAGGGGGTGGGAGGGAACAATAATTATTTAGAGACTTGAAAACTTGCATTAGGAAGGAAGAGAAAAAAAAAGTGAACTATGAGTAATTATTGTTTTTGTCTATTTTATAAGCATTCTATATGTAAAGAAAATAATGAAATAATGTTATAATAAATAAAAAAAGCTCTTAAGAAAAAAGGAAAGCTGCAGAGGCAAGGTATTTCCAAGTAAAGTCCTACTGTTTTTTTTCTTTTTCTAGGCTTACATTGTCCTCTATCCAGGCTTTGGGCTGGAGTTGGGAGATGTAAGGATGGGAAACACTACCCAATTCTTAAACAGCTCATGGTCTGTTCTGGAAATATATCCAAAGTGTGTGTTTTTCTTTTTCTGTCATAAGATACTTCAGTTTAAATTAAAGAATATTTCTAGGACCACACATGTCACATCTGACAAAAGGTTATACTACCCACAACTAGTCTTGAGTTAAAAAAAATTATACAACATGCTCATTTTCTTCTTAAGCTGAGAAAGGTGTGGGTGCAATGGTAGAGTAGCATCTGCCAGAGGATTATCTCCTGGTGACTTCTTTGAGTCCCATCAGTCATCATCCAGCAGTACTTACACAGACCTACTTCTCTGTTTGCCCCTGACCAGTTCAAGAGCCATGGCCAGACTTTGGTAATACTTGATGGCTTCAGCACTTTGCTTCTCTGATCTCTGCCCTTTTCACATCCCTGGTCTTCCTTACCCCCTTCTGTACAGATCTTCCCAGCCCTCTCTCAATACCCCAGACCTTTAATTCTATTAATCTTCCCCACATGCTTAACTTCCCACCAGAGAATCATATACTTCCTATACCCTGTACCCTTGGATCTTAATTGAGAGATTGAATTTTTAGAGCCTACATTTTAATTAATTAATTTATTTTTATTATT